GGGGGGGGGTGCTCACAGAGACTCCAAGGAAAGTCTGGGGCAAGGACCGAAGCTGGGAAAAGGCGGGGGAGACAGGAGACATCTGGAGCGGCGGAAGAGCCGGAGATATTTATCGAAACAAGACATAAATCAACAAAAGTCCTCCCCAGAGACCAGAAGGAATTCTCCCCCAGGAGGAAGGTTCGGGTTTAAAGTAAAAATGTCATCTCTGGTTTCAAAAGTCAAGGAGCGGGCTGGAATGTGGCTCCGATACTGAAATCAGCCCCAGGGCCGCGAGGGGGCTGGGAATGAGAAACCAGGAGTGAAAAATGAAAGACATCCATCTCACCCACACCCTGGGCTGCTGGCTCCGAAAGCCGAAAGCCTCAGGGATGGATGACCTGAGTTAGGGACCTCGGGTCTGTGAGTCCTCCTTCCTAAGTCCTTCCTGCCCCCACTTTTAACTGGGGGGAGGTGGGGGGGGTCAGAGTGAGAAGGCAGCACAGCCCGCAGCGCAGCCCGCAGCAGGCTGGGGCAGAGCACACACCCGCCCACAGTGCTCTGGGGTATTCGCATCCACAGGAAATCGCTGCATCAGGGGAGAGATTATTAGGCAACCAGCGGCCTCCTGACCCTGGAACTCCAGGCCCGGAGGCGTCAGGGTTTGTCTGGCTCAGGACAGATGGACGGTGGAGAGACAGAACCGGTGGACACAGGGCAGGGAGCTCTCTCAACGCTGCTCCTGGGGTCACACACCCTTTGCTGAGTAAGTATCTGTTATTTGCAAGAGCAGAGCCTGCTATTGGCGGGTGGCACCCCAGCCTCTCGTCTGCACATCATCGAGTCCAGATGGAGAGAGAGGCCATGTGACCTTGAGCATCAGGTCCTCACCCGGGAATAAGAGCAAGGCCAGCCACCCGCTCTGCCCAGGGCTGTGAGGGGACAGGAAAGAACTGTGACAGCAAACGCGTCCGGAGCCAGGCAGGCACCACGCCCCCTTACACTCATCCTCCCTTTTAACCCCCCAGCGGCCTTAGGGAGTGGGGCTGTCATTACCCCCATTTCACAGATGGGGAAACGGAGGCCCGGATAAAGCAGTTTGCCGAAAAGACAGGTCAGGAGGGGGACATGAGCCTGATCTGTCAGAACCCAGATCCCAAGCCCTCAGTCTCGCTCCAGGGCAGGGGGTCTCAGAGGAGGGCGCGCACAGGAGCCTGCTCTGACAACTGCAATCTGTCTGCAGCCGAGTTAAAGGCAATGGCAGACGTGTGTGCGGACCTGCCTGCTGTGATGGTGCGTTTTATGTGTCAGCTCGGGGGGCCGTGATACCCAGCTGTTTGGTCAAACACTGGTCTGGATAGCACCGGCCGGGATTTTCAGATGAGACTAACATTCAAATAAGCAGACTGGCAGTAACGCAGATCGCTCTCCGGAACGGGGGCGGGCCTTGTCTAATCCGGTGAAGGACGTAAGAGAAAGCCTAACCTCCCCCAAGAAGAGGGAGTTCTGCCGGCAGGCGGCCTTCGCACTTGAGCTGCAACGTCAGCTCTCAGGTGCCTGCCCTGCCCTTACACCGCCAGTGCCCACAGCTGTGCGAGCCAATCCCTTCACATAAATCACTCTCCTCTCTCTTCTCTCTCTGCATGCACACACACGCACACACACACAGGCACACACGTGCACGCGCAGTTGCTGTTTCTCTGGATGGCCCTGGCAAACGCACTGCCCAGCGGGGAGAGCAGGGGAGTTACCTGTGTCCTGGAGGTGCCCATTGTCTGCGGGGGCCAAGTCCGAGGTCTCCTGGCCCTTGACGCAGCAGGCCCGGAAGACCAGGCCGCACTGGTAGCCGACCATGAGGTTGTACTCGCAGCTCTGGCCCTGGGCCTGGGCCGCCCGCCCCAGCAGGCAGCAGTGGCAGCACCTCTGCAAAGAGGCGGGATGGAGGAGTCAGACACCCCACCACAGCCTCTCCGCCCCTCCCGTGCCCACGCCCCTCTCGTGTCCACGCTCCCTGGGCCGCTGGACACGTGCTGACCACCTCTTCTAAGCGGGGCAGCAAACAGCGAGGCAGGCTGAGCCACACATCTCCCAGGCCCCGCTCTGGAAAGGAACCTTCACGGGGCCAGCACCGGGACTTGTTCCCCGGGCCCCCAGCACCCGGCCCTGCAGGCCCCACGCCTCCAGGAAGAGGAGGCATGAGAGGGGCCTGCCAGGTCAGGGGGCTCCTGCAGCTCCTGCGGGTCTGAGATTTCTCCCTGGGCCCAGAGCCCAGCCAGGAGCGGGAATGTGCACGTCTCCCTCCCTGCAACTCCTGCGTTTGAAAAGCCCAGGACTTCAAACATGCCCTCGGGGGACGGGCAGAGTCGCTGCCTGTCCCCTGG